ACTGACCAATAGCGAAGTGGATCAAGTGAATTAATAATGGCGCGCGCCATACCTTGTCTCTCTGGATTGGATCGTAGTTTTATAGCTTAATCTCATAAGAACCTTTGGTTTTTTGAATGATTTTGTTCGTTATCAGTGTGTCAAATCTTCGCGACAGCACCGTGATTGAAGTACTATCGAATTTTTACACATTTAATCCTCAAGGTTGGTGTGCATCATTTCAAACGTCTCCATGTCTAATCAATTCTACAATGGTTTAAATTCAATGATTATGAGGAACCTGCAGCGATAAATTGCTGAATACATCAGTGAAATCATTATCAATTTCAGATAGCCAGGACAGTGAAAGATTGCCAAAGAAATTCTCTGACAAACTCACATACATGTTCAAGGGAACTAAGCCTGGACTGCGGGATTACAATAGAAGCAATTTCCGTATGTTATATTTTTCGTCAGTTTCCAATTGTTATAGGTGCTTTTTGAAGGGCAATATTGGATGCCGGATTCTACGGGAAAAGAATGCTATCAATGCGAAGAGAGGTTCTCAACATTCAGGTAATCATTTTTTCCGCATCACTCATTACATTCGCATCTGTGGATTTGTTTAGGAGAAGGCATCACTGTCGACTTTGTGGGCAGATATTCTGCGCGAAATGCTGCAACATTCATGTTCCTGGCTCCGCTTTAGGTAAGTGTGGAAACGGCATTTCCAAATTTACCTGTTATTTTGTTTGAGTTGACTTTTTCTGGTGCAGGATACATCGGTGATCTTCGTCTGTGCCATTACTGCGCGAAAATGATGGCACAGTATTTACCCGAAGAGGAGTGTGTAGAGACTGAAGATCCTGATGGCTGTCCACTGAGTGACGAGCAGCCGAGTCAGAGTAATAGTTCATCAGGAAATTCTGGAAGACCTGTCTCAACCGTGTCATCCGGTAGGCGATTATGCAACTGATAAGTGTTTTCTATAATCTCTGCTATTTCTAGTTGACTACACTCACACTATGTTTGATAATGGCTTTTCGTTTTACTATTTGCTTCAAATCTCCTTATCGCTGAAGTAATTAGGTCCCATGATGTGGTCCCGTCCATCCGATATTGGATCCACAAGTCGTGGAAGCGGGGATAATTCATTTGCACCACCTTCTGCGTCCACAAAACCACCACCGTCTCTTCTTTGTGCTAATGAGCTGTATCTTCAACATGAGCAAAGATCCAGCTCGAAGGTAGGAGAAAAATCGGAAT